GGGGTACGGGTGGGCCTTTGGTATAGCTGCCTTGGAGGTGGAGGAAATTAAACAGCTGTCTACCTTGCCTGGTCTCTCTAAGGACCCTTCTGTTGGGGGGTTGCTGAGGGTCGAAGAACAGCAGGTGCCAATCGCTATCACAGTGGTGCACTGGAGTCAATATTGCACCAGCCGAGACTCCCTGATTCGCATCCATAAGCTGATCCGTCAACTGGAGAGCCAGGGAGTGATCAGCAAAACTCGTTCACCCTTTAACGGTCCCATATGGCCAATGTGAAAATCTAATGGCAAGTGGAGACTAACAGTAGATTGTCATGGCCTGAGTGAAATCACGCTGCTGCTGGTTGCTGACCGTGCCAGACATGCTAGAACTTCAATACAAACTGGAGTCGAAGGCAGCCAAGTGGCACGTCACTATTGGTATCACTAATGCATTTTTCTCGATCCCTTTGGCAGCAGACTGCAGGCTACAGTTTGCTTTCACTTGGAGGGGCATCCAGTACACCTGGAATCGACTGCCCCAGGGGTGGAAACTCAGCCCCACCATTTGCCATGGACTGATCCAAACTACACTGGAACAGGGTGAAGCTCCAGAACACTTGCAAAACATTGATGACATCATCATATGGGGCAACAGAGCAGAAGAAGTTTCTGAGAAAAGGAAGAAAATAATCCAAATCCTTCTGAAAGCTGGTTTTGCCATAAAACAAGGAAAGGCCAAGGGACCTGTGCAGGAGTTCCAGTTTTTAGAAATAAAATGGCAAGAGGGGCATCACCAAATTCCAATGGATGTGATAAACAAGATAGCAGCCATGTCTCCACCAACTAGCAAAAAGGAAACACAAGCTTTCTTAGGCGATGTGGGAGGATGCATGTCCCAGATTACAGTCTGATTGTAAGCCCTTTCTATCAAGTGACATGGAAGAAGAATTATTTCAGATGGGGCCCTGAACAACGACAAGCCTTTGAACAACTTAAACGGAAGATTGTTCGTGCTGTAGACCACAGCCAGGGAGAATGGCCCTACGTGGAGTCTGTGGCAGAAAGCACCTGGGGAGACCCAAGACCAACCCCTAGGGTTTTGGAGTCGAGGATACAGAGGATCCGAGGGCTGCTGTACTCCAGCTGAAGAAGAGATAATGGCAGCGTATGAAGGCGTTCAAACTGCATTGGAAGTGGCTGATACTGAAACCTTGGGCTCCTCTTAGCACCGCGATCGCTGGTGCTGGGCTGGATGTTCAAAGGGGAGGTCTTCTCTGCACGCCGTGCAACTGATGCCATGTGGAGTAAGTGGGTCACACTGATCACACAATAGGAATCCCAAGTCGCCCAGGAATTTTGGAAGTGATCATGGACTGGCCAGAAGGCGAAGGTTTTGGAATATCACCAGAGGAAAAGGTGACGTGATGAAGAGGCCCCACTGTATAATAAACTACCAGAAAATGAGAGGCGATAATGCCCTGTTTACTGGTGGATCCTGTCATGTGGGAAAATATCGGAGGTGGAAGGCTGCTGTATGGAGTCCTATATGACAGGTTGCAGAAACTGCTGAAGGACGAGGTGCATCGAGTCAGTTTGCAGAGCTGAAAGCCATCCAGTTGGTTTTAGATATTGCTGAACGAGAAAAGTGGCCAGTGCTCTGTCTCTATACCGATTCATGGATGGTGGCAAATGCCCTGAGGGGGTGGTTGCAGCAATGGAAGCAGAGTAACTGGCAGCACAGAGGCAAGCCCATCTGGGCTGCTGAATTATGGCAAGTAAGATATTGCTGGTCAGGTAGAGAACCTGGTTGTGAAAGTACGTCACATAGATGCCCATATACCTAAGAGTTGGGCCACTGAAGAACATCAAAACAACCAGCAGGTGGATCAGGTTGCTGAGACTGAAGTGGCTCATGTGGATCTGGATTGACAACATAAGGGTGAATTATTCATAGCTTGGTGGGCCCACAACACCTCAGGCCACCAAGGAAGAGATGCAACATATACGTGGGCTCATGATTGAGGTGCGGACTTGACCATGAACACTGTTGCACAGGTTATCCATGAGTGTGAAATTTGCACTGCAGTTAAGTAAGCTAAGCAGTTAAAGCCTCTGTGGTATGCAGGGTGACAGCTGAAATATAAATACAGGAAGGCCTGGCAGATTGACTATATCACACTCCCACAAACTGGCCAAGGCAAGCACCGTGTGCTTACAATGGTGGAAGCAACTACCAGATGGCTGGAAACATACCCCATGGCCCGTGCCACCACCTGGAACACTGTCCTGAGCCTTGAAAAACACGTTTTATGTGACACAGCATCCCAGAAAGGATTGGTTCAGACAACGGGACTCGTTCCTGAAACAACCTCATAGACACCTGGGCCAAAGAGCCATGGCATTGAGTGTCAGTATCACGTCCCCTGTCATGCACCAGCCTCTGGGAACATCAAGCAATAACAATGACTGTTAAACGCTACACTGAGAGCAGTGGGTGGTAGAACCTTCAAACATTGGGACACACATTTAGCAAAGGCTACCTGGTTAGTTAACACTAGAGCATCTACTAATCGAGCTGGCCCTGCCCAATCAAAACTTTTACGTACTGTAAAAGGAGATGAAGTCCCCATAGTACACACAAAGAATATGTTAGGGAAGGCAGTCTGGGTCACTCCTGCCTCAGGCAAAGGCAAACCTATCCATGGGATTGCTTTCATGCAAGGACCTGGGTGCATCTGGTGGGTGATGTGGAAGGTCAGGAACGTCCAAAGTGTACCTCAAGGGGATTTGACTTTGGGTAAGAATAGCCAGTGAATTAAATTGTGTGATGTTAATTGCTATATAACCCTGCCACTGTGTGTCATCACTACTGTAGTTGTTACATGCTGTATCAATGAATGGTATTACGGTAAGAATCAGGCAGATTAATGAATAAATTTTGATAAAACCAAGTGAAGCAAAGTAGTGATGGAACCAGAACTGACTTGGGCATGCAACAGTCCAATACTACACACCATCCTCCTGCTGCACCAGATGTTGCCTGCCGGCCACACCGCACCAAAGCCCAATCCTGCTCTGCTGACTGAGCGGACTTTGCATGATCCCTCCTGCCCAGATAGACTGTTAGAGAATTGCAGAGTGGTTTGGGTTGGAAGGGACTTTAAAGATCAGCTAGTTCCAGCCCCGCTGCCATGGGCATGGACACCTTGCCCTGGACCAGGTTGCTCAAAGCCCCATCCAAGCCGACCTTGAACAGAACCTGGCCTTATGACAGATAAAGCCCAAAATCAAGGACTAAATGAACTCAACAGACATTTTAAAGGGACTCTTAAAAGGACATTTTAAAGGCCCATAGACTAAGGGAATATCTGTTTGTACATATATCAAGAGACAGGAAAGGTGGTGGTGGTGATTAACTGGAATGTATTGGAAGTGTGAGAATTAAGTATGATGTAAATGGTATAGAATAAGGGGTGGATATTGTCCTGGTTTTGGCTGGGGCAGAGTTAGTTTTCTTTCTAGTAGCTAGTACAGTGCTGTGTTTTGGATTGAGAAGTGTGAGGAGAATGTTGCTAACACGCTGATGTTGGAATTGTTGCTAAGTAGTGCTTGTCCTAAGTCAAGGATATTTCTGTTTCCCATGCTCTGCCAGTGAGGAGGTACACAAGAATCTGGGAGGGAGCGTGGCCAGGACAGCTGACCCGAACTAGCCAAAGGGATATCCCACACCATAGGACATCATGCTCAGTACATAAACTGGGAGGGGTTGGCTGGAGGGTGCCGACCATGACTCGGGGATTTGGCTGGGCATCAGTCAGCAGGTGGTGAGCAGTTGTATTGTGCATCGCTTATTTTGTATATTCTTCTATTATTATTACTAAATTATTCTCATCATCATCATCATCATCATGATTATTTTCTCTTCTATTAAACTCCCCACTGAGGAGGGGGAGTTAGCAAGCAGCTTCATGGTGCTTAATTGCCAGCTGGGGTTAAACCACGACAAGGTGTTAACCGTGAGTGTAGGTGGCTTAGGTGTTTAGGCCCTCGTTTCAAGTATAGGTGCCTGAATTTCACTGAACTGGGATTTAGTCAGGATTTGGGTTATCTGTTGATGTTTTAGATGCTCTTTATGTCTAAGAAGTAGTAGTATCTGTTCGTTATCTGGAAGAATCCCATAGATGTTTTATATCTTGTTTTCTTTTTCTAATCCTTTTGATTAAGTGACACTTATCTGATGGTGTAGCCCAGTATTTCACAGTGTGTTAAAGGGGTTTATTTCCTCATTGCTGTCTGCAGTAATAACCTCTAGTTTAAATCATAGTATAATCTCTCTCAATGTGTGGGCTCAGATTTCCCATAAATCACAATGCACAAACCTTAAAAAAGAAAGGAAAAAAAAACGTTGTTTGAAACAGATTTCAGCTAGTACCAACCTTTGCCATTTTTATATATTCCAACAGAGTGATGGAACACTATTGGCTACAGGCTCGTATGATGGTTTTGCAAGAATATGGACAGAAGATGGTAAGTCAAACAACATTTATTGTTATTAAGCGTCAAACAGCAGTGAACTGTAATTTGGCTAATTTGTGAACAAATTTTAATATTAAACTTTTCTTTATTCCAGGTAACCTTTCAAGCACCTTAGGTCAACATAAAGGTCCCATATTTGCCCTGAAATGGAACAAAAAGGGGAATTATATTTTAAGTGCTGGTGTTGATAAAGTGAGTTTTAAAAATACATTATTCTAACGTATAAATGTGCTGACTCAGTGAGCTTGCGCTGCTGAATTCCATAAGATTGTTTACTTCTCCAGGCATCCTGCAGAGTTTACTTTTCTTTAATGTGTTTTAGTGCATGTTGATTACTTTTTTGAGGCTGCATAAATGTGTGCTGTTTTTATGTAAAAGATTCTGCTTTAAAAAACAATCCCCATTTGCCCCCTGCATAAAATTGCATCTTAAATGTGTCTCAGTTAAGGAAGTAACTGCTTCCAGTACTTACACTTGTAGTTTTATCAACTAACTGTTTCCAGGAAGGAAGTGATCTTAAAGTTACTGCACCTTTTAGCTTATCTAATTATGGAAATTGTAATCGAATAAAATATATATGGCTTCCTATGCAAATATGAAAAAAAATGGCATTTCTGAACTCAAAATCAAGCAGAACGTAGTAGCTACAGCTGAGTGCATATTAGAGATTAAAATGAACAGATGACTGATGACGATGAGGACGAATCCATTAAAACTGAAACTGGAAAGTACGCAGCATTCATTTTGCCTAACTTTCAATGTCTGAAAATCAGATGTGTATGTCATCCTTGGCTTCCTTTATAAAATTTGGAGAGAAAAATGGCACTTCCAAGTGATGGGTTGCATGGCCTGTGTTACAGTGAGATGCACTGACAGTGCTTCTCTCCAGCAACTGACAGAGGGAGTCTAGGGAAACCAGCTCAGGCTTGTACATCTGATTTGTAGGCTAGATGAAGCGCTATATTTTCACACAGTTGTGAAAATGGAAACTTCATTTTAGTCATTTTAATACTGGCTTATATTCAGCTACACTTGTCTCCCAGTGGTAGTTCCATTATTCTGGCAAACTCACCTTCCAAATAACAGCAGTGATTCTTTAGATGATCTGTTATCAGCAAGATGAGGCATTCTTAATTTATTTTCTGGAAGCGTATACTCCCAATAAATTGACAATTCACTCAGAAGGTGGTATTGAGCTCTACAGGGGAGTTGCTTACATGTGCTGTGAGTATGGATTAAACCTCTGGTAAGCAAATTACACTTTAGTCGGTCCCACCACAGTGACAAGGTGTGATATATGTACTCTGCTGCTAGATAAACATTTCACCTGGTGGTTTAATTGTTAGAAATGCAGGATCACGTAGTTTTGGAATAGAGTTCGACTTGCATCTTTGAAAAGGGGAAAACGTCTTCTTTGAAGAAAGTAACTGAAACAGCTGTAACAAAATGCCTATTAAAAATGCGTAGTGCTGTCTTCTAGCATTATTCAGAGAAAATATGCCCATTCTTAGTAGTTATATTACTTCCTCTGTAGGCGTGATACTTCTTTATCTACACTTAGATTATTATTCTGTAATATTTGGAAGTGATTTCTTGTTTTTTCAGCTGTTCAGCACACAAGGCTCTCTGCAGTCAGTAATTTTATCAGTCATTCTCTTAGAATTGCTCCTCAGTGAGGGTGCTTTCTGTTTATTTTCTCTGAGCTGAACAGTCACTAATCTTTTTTTTCCCCCCTTCCTTTGGATGCAGACAACAATAATTTGGGATGCTCACACAGGAGAAGCTAAACAGCAGTTTCCTTTCCATTCAGGTAATTTCTGCATAACTGTTGTTAGTAAAATGAAATGCAGTTTTTAATTTTGTCTGCGTAATTTATCCTTTTGTAAAAATCTAACTGCCAGAGAGAAGTTTGAACCAAGTTCTTTGTGCTTTAACTGTCCTGACCATCATGGTTTCTGGGTTTATTCTTTTTCCAGAAAGATAGGGTTCTGTGAGAATCAGCTTTGAAAGTCAAACTGATTCTAGGAGAGGGTTCATACACCAGCCATGTCTACCTAGCTGAATGATTCTGTAGTTATCTCTGTGCTTGAGCAGTACCAAGTGGTGACTTATGAAGAGACTTTTCAATGAAGGTGTCTGGGGTCTCTTACACTCTTTTTGCTCCCGTTGCAATGAAGCTGACTTGAGGCGCTCTCGTGCAGCTTGCATTCACCACTGCAAGCATGAAGGTTCTCAGGAATCTCTTAATTTTGACTTGAAGTTCTTCAGTATTTGCTTTCTCTGATTATCAGAAGTCAATTGCCAACCTTGAGTTTCAAAACCTTGCTGCACCAAAACCTTACTTGGGTGGCCGTTTGTAGATCTGGTCTGCTTCAAGGAGACAGGAGATGTCGCAGATACTAAGTACTCTTGAGTAACAGGGAATCATTGACGTAATCTTAAATTCACCTGAGACCAGACTGGTAAGATGATGACTGAATTCATATCCAAACTGGATAAATTGTCATAGTGATAAAGTTTAAGGGACATAGTCAAACTGAGTTTAAAACCACAAAAACATTCCAGATTCTGATGCTAGAAACGTTCATCTTCCTGTGCGTTCACTGTAACTAATCCATTTTTAAATATGGCAGGCTTTCACAAGGTCCTTAGTGGTACTTAGAAACACATATTTTACTACTGGTTTTAAAACATTACTTTCCACTTGCTTTTCAACTAATTTTCTAGTTTCTCACATTCTCACAGATGTTATTAATATGCAGTAGCAATTGAAATGGTTGTTCGACAGAGACAGTTAAGACAAGTAGGTCCATGTGCACAGCAGATCCATACTCTGCATTTTTGTCACTCATCTTCTCACTTATTAATGCAACTGTCAGTTTGGAGGAGTCAGTGTCTGCTGACAGATTTTCTCACTGTGGCATTTATTTATCTGCCATAACTGTTCCATAAAAGCAAACTTCTGACTGTATAGTGATGTAGTTAATGAGACTCTTAAGCCTTCTGATCCCTAAATCTAGATGTAAGTAGCTGCAGATTTGGGACTTGGTTGCCCATTCAGAATGCAGTTCACTGACGTCTAGTTGCCTCAGCAGTGATGTGCATCAAGGACGTATCACTCCATTCCCTTTTTATCAAGTTGAAAACATAACTACATCTTCCAATGCAATAAGCCAATGTCCATCTGCTTTAGTAGATTTTTTTTTTTAATTCTTATTACACGTTCTGTTTGTCTTTGGACTGTAAGACCTGACTGAAGTGGAGATGTGGAGAGGCTAATTATTTTTTTTTTTCATTATTTCAAGTGTGTTTTCATAGGGAAGTAAAGCAGTAGGTTAGTTACTGAGAAAATTGTTGATGGGCCAAAAGTGTATGTCCTACAAAAAGCCCCGTAAAATCAACTAGAGTCTTTGTCCTCACATAAGTCTAAAGCCACAAAGACCTCACCTTGTCCTCTTTGCATCACCTATTCACCAGAACAAACTTACAGCAAATTCTTTCCCGTATCTGGAATCTGAAAACCTTGTCTACACAAGGATTAAAGGTGGCATTTTAACAATTAAAAATCTAGTCTAGACAGAGTACAGTTCCTTTAGCACATACTTGTGTGGCATACTTCTTTGAAGTCTGGAGATAGTTGGCCTGGGAATAACATACATTTTTTACTCTCAGCTGCTTTACAACTTGTTTAGTTTATACCCATATGGCCAAAACTGTCATCTTAAAACACAGAAGGAAGACTCCTTTGTCTAGGTCTTGAAGGCCTCTATGGTTTTATGGTCAAAATATGTATGTGAAATAAGTAGCTTCTAGGATTTCATTATTGTTTGCAAAACTATGAGTCATCATGGGGCATTTGATCAAAATACATATTCACAAAGCTTATTTGTTTAAAATGGAGTGAAATAATCGAATATTCACATCTGCTGATAGATGTGGACTGATGCATGCAAGAGCAAATTGGTTAAGTGATACCATAAGAGGTATTTGTATGACCCAGTTTTAGACATGAGTGCTCTCAATCACTCCCTGCAGACCCTTAAGTCTGTCCTCTTCTGAGCTTCTAATTTTAAATCATCAATTTGTTCAGAAAAAGCTTAAATTAACTGATAATTATTGTAACACTTTTATTGTTGAGATTTATTTTAGCTGCATTTCTTAAGGATTTGTTGCCACTTTTATTAGATGACATTCTAATTGGTTTTATGCAATTGGCTAGTATCCTGTGGTTTTGAAGACACTTTGGCAATTCAATTACTTGCATAAAAAACCACATTTGGCTGTTTTTTCCAGACCATTTTATGTAGTTACTTATCCAGTAAACATATGATTAAATACACCAATAAATGAATCAGTATTAATTATCAACACTGTATGGTATTTGATGATTCAAATTATGCTGCAATGCAAATCCATCGCTTTAGGTGCCAATAGCTCTCAGAAAATTACTTTTCGACTCATACATATCATACTAGATACTAGCCCTGAAGGTATATGGCTATTAATGAAGATAGATTTTTATTTGCTTTGAAACAATAATACAAAGCTTGCAGCATAAGAAGAAAGACAAACAGGCAGTTAAAGAAACTAAATCCTTTACCATTTCCCGATCCCCATTCATGTTCATTGGAAAACCGAGAAGTGACCTGCCTACCTCACACATGTTTCCTTTATATTTCTGCAATGTAGAAATTCCTTACCTGTCTCACGGGATTATTGAGCTTTTTCATTAATATTCTAGAAAATACTTGTATATGAAACAATTGCAGCCCTCCATTCTCATTTAGAGAGTTGCCTGATGATTCAGAAGGTGAGATGGGTCAATCTCATTTTGCAGTTTGTAAAAATTATAACAGGAAAACACGTATTTAAATACAATAGGCTTAGCAGAACAGATATCTTTTCACCTCTGTATTACAAAAGTATTTTTCTGAACATATTTGAATAAGGCATTTCTTCGTTTCATTTTAATGTTAAACTTGCATTGTATTGTTGCCAGAAAGAGATTGAACTTGGTTTCCTGTATGCTGGTGTTGCTCTGACACACTTGCTTCTCGCAGGAGTGTGCTGAGAATGAAGATGTCTGTATTTTAGCAAGTCTTGTGTCATCCTCTGGAGGGCAGCTAAACTCTTTCCTGAGCAAAAAAACAAGCAGCAGTTGTAGCAACACAAGCAAGCTGTATGTCAGGAGTTCCCCCCTCCTCCTGCGAATGCTTTTAGTTTGCACTGAGATGCTGTAAAAGGGGTTTTTTGATTGTTTTTTCCACACTTTTTGCAACGGGTTTGTGTTGCACACAGGCACTAGTTAATATGTTCATGTGCTGTCTGTGTGCAGAGTTTCATTTGTTCCATCCTAGGTAATGCCAAGCCCTCTCCAGAAACTCTTCGTGTCATTTCAGATCACCTTGATCAATGTACCTGCCTTAAATCAATCCCCCACCAAATTAAGCTGAATGCAGGTATTACTAAGCCACATGTCTGCACAGAACGATAGGTTTGTATCGGTGGTTGCATAAAGCTGGTGCAAAGGAAGGTGGCCACCTGCTGCTTCTCCCTCACGTGTGTTGTGTCTGGCATTCACGGAAACATTTTTTCTAACCCAGCTGAAATTATCTGTATTTCTTCTGGCTTAGTTTTCTTCCAGGTTCTTCACTGAACTGTCTTACAGAGGAATGAATGGTAGAGATGGCCCAAGAGATGTGTGTAGCTGGGAGTGGGGAGGGTGGAGGTAGATTGGTTTGTAACGTAACACAAAAAATTCTCAGAAATAGATGTCATACAAAGCATCCAGATTGTCCACTGCAAAAGAAAAGATAATCTCTGCCCTTCAGACAGTCCCTGTCATCCCTGTAACTGGTAGTAGGTGGCAGGCCAAGAACGAGCTTTTAGTCCGTTTGATCCAGATAGGGGACAGGAGGAAAATTATTTGGGATAGCTGTTTCTTTGCTGTGTTCCCTGACATTCCTTCTTTTGTTTGTACTTCACAGCTCCTGCTCTGGATGTAGACTGGCAGAACAACACTACTTTTGCCTCCTGCAGCACTGACATGTGCATTCATGTATGCAGACTTGGCTGTGATCGTCCCGTTAAAACCTTTCAAGGACACACAGTAAGTTTAAGAAGCCCAAAATGTTAGCAATAAAGTCACAGCGGCGTGTAATGATGATGGCAGATGATGTGTTTGCAGGGTGTGTTCTAGCAACAAAGGTGTTACTTCCCATTGCTTCCCTAAAACCGTGTTCCTTGGGAGTGATTCACTGCCTGTGAGAAAGGGGTAAATTGATCTAAATCACCGTAGGAGGCAAAATCTGCAGCTTAAACAGCGAGGCTATTTATATGTAGCATGAGCTGCAGACTAAGGTCACATTAATAAATAAGGTTTTGCTTTCCGCTGGCTTAATTTCCTTTAGTAAACGAGAGCTATGAATAAAGAGAGAACAATTTACCTCCAGCCATTGTTCAGTTTTGGAATCAATGTAATCTAATAAGATCTAAGATGTATTTCCCCTCTCTTTTCCTGGTGGTGTTTAATGACCGTCAAAGGCTAGTTTTTCTAGCTTTCATTCATGAGAAAAGTGCTATCATACCTGTAATTTAGATATTAACTTCCAGAACTTGTTGTCCCCCTGCTGAGGAAAAACTGTGCATTTGGAGACCTTTATGTATTCTGTGGTTAAACAGATACTAAAATGATATTTCATGGCAGGTTGTACATTCCTACCAGCAGACTGGTGCTTTTTATGATCGTATGAAATGCACCATTTTCATGTGATTGAAATTTTTACTTCAAATATCTGTACAGTTCCTTTTAATTGTGACTAAAACATGTAAAATGGATAAAGCAACATTTAAATATTTTCCAGGATTATTTTCACTGAGACCCCAAGCCAATTTATGTTTTTAAAAAACAATCTTTCCCTTTTTATGAAATGCTTTTTTTCTCCCTATGTATGACCCTCAAAAAAGCACAGAAAACATATTGATTACCAAGGGGATGCACTAGGCTTAGAAAATTACAAAGTGCTAGAAAGATTGATAGAAAAAGCATTGTAAACTATTCAAAATTCCATTCTGGATTTCATTTACACGTATACATACACGGAGAGAGGGAGACCACTGTTGTTGTAGAGCTGCAATACTAAGAATTATAAATTCTGCAAAATTTTACACCCCACCAGTATTTTCTGTTGAAAATTTGTATCTCAGAATTCTACAGAATATTAACCGAAGAAATACCTCAATTTTAATAAGAGGTAATGCTGTATCGTCAGTCTGTCTGGTTTGAGGGTTTATTTAAATCCACCACATGAAGAAAGGGTATGAGAGACTTTGTGCCAGAACACGTATCAGTAGAATGATTGTGTGTATCGTTCACAAGCACAAAATGGTTACCATTCCTAAATGACACTTAAATAGTGCGTTAGGGACGCAGGGCTGCTTTTGTTCACCCGTAAAGCAACCAGGGCTGTAATTTATGGTTGAAGTTGTCGCGTGCATAATCCTTGAGTGCCCTCTGCCGGGTGCGCGGTACAATGCAGGTAACTAGAAGATTTACTTAATATAATGACCCTTTCTTTCAGAACGAGGTTAATGCAATCAAATGGGACCCGTCTGGCATGCTACTAGCATCTTGCTCCGATGATATGACATTAAAGGTAGTGTAATTTCCATCCCTGCTGTTCCAAAAGTAAAAACAAAAATTATGTCTATTTTTTAATCTTTTCCAGAGTGATGGTACTGTGTCACTTAAAACTCTGCATGAACAGTAGTTTCATTTTGTCCCGTATTTCTTAAAGCCAGTCTGAAAAACTGAACACAGAGAAACAGCCACTGGGAAAACTGAGACATCCTGTGCAAATAAGTGTTACGTGACTGATATGTCACTGTCATGGAACAGTCATAGTTTAAATATGTACATATGGAAACACCTGCTTGCCTGTCAACAGAAGCACAATCCCTATGCTAAGAAGCAGTCTATTGGTTACATGTTGAAAATAATATAAAAATGAAGAGGTTTCTTTCCCTTTGGGGTCTTTCTTTCTGAAAATAATGTCGTTGGAGCCGTTCAATTGGGTTTTTTTAATAGCCTTGGAGTAAGCAATGAGACATGACATATATATATTCAGAGCTCACCAAAAATCTGAATTGCTCTCTGAAGGTGCCTGTCTTTATCCATTCACTGTATGGGAAGCCTAAGGCAGCTACACTGCTGATATATGTGCTTCTATGAGGTGTCTGAATTTAGGTGAAATTAATCTGGATTCTGGCTCGCAGGCAGCATAGGCCGGGCCGTTGCGCTGTACCAGCACAGTGTTGCTAAAACAGGAGGAGTCTGGGCTTGCAGAAATACTTTTCACAATAGAGCTTTTCCAGCCCAAACTCCACTCATTCTCCTTTCCCAGCCACACTGAATGTCTGTGTAGGAATAGCTGTATGTTGTAACAGCGAAGCTCTCCTGCTGGACACTTGATTTACGGTGGTTCCTTGAGCAGAGCAAACATCCCAGGAAAGACTTGGTTTCATGGATAGAATTGTACCAGTAATAGAGTTTCCTCATAGTGCAGTTGTGTCAGTTAAGGCTCGTACCTCTTTCCGCTGGTGATTGACACAGCTGAAGCAAGAGACGTTTCCAGCATGCACGCAGCCTGTGCGTAAGGAACTGAAACAGAGAGAGCAGCAGGACTCGTAGATGAGAGCTAAGTAAACGTCAGCATTATGAATGTTTCCTCTTCGTAGGTAGCCCGACTTCGGCTCAATTCGACTCTTTGTCTTCACCCACTGGGGTTTTCATCGCTCTGGATTCTAGATGTGTTATTGCGGACTGCTCACAGAACTGGACGTGTACAGAAAACAGGGCTAGGAAAGACTGAAAGAGAGCACCTTGTCTGTTGTGCTGCCACAAAGCAGTCTTGTAGTAACCATTACTGCTCTGCTCAAACATCCTGACCCAGTGGTAGCACGTTTTTTTGGTGCCCGCTTGTGTGCTGTGTTTTAAAACCCACTGTGGCTCAGTGTTGTTGGTATCGGTTCAAATTTCTGTCCTCTGAATTTGGCACATGTTTGCTATCCCCGGCCTCGCCTGTTTTTAAAAACATTCCAGTGATGGAAACTGCAAATCCTCTTCAGGAAATTATTATTTCTTTTTCATTCGGAAGTCAGTCCTCTCTGTCTTCTTTTTCTTTTCTTTTTTTTTTTTTTTTTTGAGTTCTTGATATTTTCCTACTGCTTCTTGGAACATGTTGTCTATTAGCCGTAGAACATGGCTAAGCTTTGTGTAACGTTTCCAAAAGCGTACTCAGGTATGCAGATGAAAATTCACCATAAGAGCACATCATTTCCCTCATAGTTCAGACTTACAACAAGTGAGTTAAGTTATTATTACATTTTTGATATCTCTTTGAAACGGACAGACTAAATTTGAGTTATTTTCCCTGATGTGAATTAGCTTCATCTTACTTGCTCAGTTAGCTATGTAGAAAAGATGTGCTAAACTACCTGTTGTCTCTCTTGAGCATATTCTTTATCTCACGCTGAAGTATTTGGCTATGTAACACTGCATAAATAGCTGATCGTCTTCTATCATCTGTGCTGTTAAAAACATGAGCAAAACAGGTGGAGTTCAGAAGGAAAAGGAAAATTTTACTGGCATAAAAGAAAATTACTGGGTTCTAAGCAGCTATTGAAGCTTTCTTTTCATTCTTTAGAATGACTGCTGTTGCAATGTGTGACTTAAACTTCAAGTTAAACTTCTCTAAATAGAGTTACTTAAGCTTCAGTATGAAAATACAGTTACAGGCCATGGGCAGTACAGCAACTATTTAGTTCTTCTTTTGTATTGAATAAATGCTATTTAATGTGTAGCCCTTTCCCCTAATGGTGTTATTTTAACGTGTGTACTAAACTGCTGCATTAATAAATTGTTATGTTTATATGTGTGTGTGTGTGTTGAGATCTCATATAAACAAATGGTAAGAATAACATAGAACTGAAATAATTCAGCTGAGAAGAGATTAATAACGTTGCTATTTTTCCCCTTCATAATTACCGTGACTTAGATTTGGAGTATGAAGCAAGATACCTGTGTACATGATCTTCAGGCTCACAGCAAAGAGATTTATACTATCAAATGGAGTCCTACAGGACCAGGCACCAGCAACCCAAACTCCAACATCATGTTAGCAAGGTAAAAAATACACCTCTTTCTGTTGCTTACCAAGAAGAAAGGTCATCTTTCCGACATGTAACTCTACTGTCGTCTTGCCGTCAGTCTTCCTGCAGACAATTCCGGTAAAAAGTACCCGTGCTCCTAAATCAGGGAGTTGGATACAAAGGGAAAGGAATCATATTTGAAAAAGAAAGGAGAAAAAGAAGGAAAATTGAGTCATGTGGTACTTAACTTTTGGGCTGCCTTGATAAAAGGGTTTTAAATTTGGCATTGCACCTTCACGTCCGGCATCTCGTTGTTGTGAATGGAGGTACCTAAGGAGGCAGACGGCAGCCCGTTCAGCCAGCTGGCATGTGTCTAACCAGGGTCGTGCAACTCACCTAGGCAGATATTAACAATTTTTGTAGCCTTTTTAACTAGCAGAGAAAAGCTGGGATAATCTTTAAAATTCCACTTGAAAATCTGTTCAAAATTCTTCTGTGAGTTTAGGAAGTAGAATACCAAATGGTGGTAGTACCATGGGATTATCAAATCAGTTCATGGTGTATTCAGTTTGGGGAGGAGTTGTATCGAAGCTGTTTTGTTTATTTTACTCCTTAGTGTGGGAGTGGACAGGGAAGAAGTTAACGTTCTTGGAGCTGTTCTTTTAATATTTTTAATACCAATTACTTCCTTTGCCTTTCTCTAACCCCACAGTTTGGGATTTAGATGGAGGGTAGCAAAAAAAAGCATTGAAACAAAGTGAAAAGAACCACAGTTCTGGAGAATTACAGACTGCTACTTCATTAAATAATGCAAATCCATTAGGAATAAGGTCTTTCTGGAACCATTTATCCTATTAATGACAATATATGTTGACTTTCCTGAATAGTAGCAGGTAGAATCTCAAAAGGAGGGAGCTTGGCCGTCTTAGGACTAGTGGTCTGATCCTATATACAGCACACCTAGATAAACTCAAAGGGTCTTCATACAAGAATTCAGTTCTGTAGATAATAGTTCTTGTCATAAAAAACGTAAAGGCTGTAATGCATATTAGTTTCTCTGTGTGAAACATTTCTTCCTTAGACAAGGAAAAAAACCTATGGTATTCTCTTAAAACATTTACAGTATCAAACTACAAATTGTTTAACACCTGAATTAAGACCTGCTTGTGTTTGAATGCTTCTTGCAGTGCTTCGTTTGATTCCACTGTTCGGCTGTGGGACGTTGACCGAGGAGTCTGCATCCATACGTTAACGAAACATCAAGAGCCCGTCTACAGTGTAGCTTTTAGTCCTGATGGAAAATATCTAGCCAGTGGGTCCTTTGACAAATGTGTCCATATATGGAATACTCAGGTACTGTTTTGCTTCATGTCGAGGTTCAGATGACACATTAATAGCAAAAGCTTAAATGGAAAATATATGTACCTCTGTAGCGTGTGACCTGCCAGCCAGGGTGAGCCTGGCTGATACAAATCCCAGCATAACAGCTGAGTCACTCAGGTGGAGTGAGGTGACTGTCCAGAGCATTTCTGCTCAGTTTTCTTTGTGTGCTAAAACACCCACCATACATGGAAATAGGTACGTTACGTTGTGCCGTCAGCTTTGTGAAGCAAAGGTGTGGATTGATTCTTAGAAATAAGGGATGCTTTTCTTTAGTAACAAGCTGAGTTCGGTTGTGAGTCTGATGCACCGGTCTTACACTTACACTTTGTGATGAGGGCGTGATAGATACGAAGGGTGTGCAGGCTGGGGACTGGGGATATTCGGGAGAGAAGTGGGACATCTTAGTTGCACAGATTAGTTCTGGATACTGACGCCTCACAGCCTGAATTAACAACAAACTTTAGAGAAGACCACCTCAGCCTAACTCCCCAGGCCTTTACTGTTACAGAGTTGGCAAAACCAGATGTCTAAGAGTCCCACTGTAAATTGCTTTCTGGAGGAGCCTGTTTCTCTTCGTTATCAAAGACCAGATTCCTAACATCAGCACCTTATGGAGAGGACCATAACTGGGTGATGTGGATAGCTCCCACTCGCCACCACTCTCTTCTTTTTAATGTAGTGCCACGTGACAGAGAAAGAGAAGGGGAACTTCAGTGTCAAATGTTTACATGCTGTTTTGCTTTGTAGAGTGGAACTCTAGTACATAGCTACCGAGGCACCGGGGGCATCTTTGAAGTCTGCTGGAATGCTAAAGGAGACAAAGTGGGAGCAAGCGCATCAGACGGATCGGTAAGGAGCTTCACACGTTGTAAATGCTGGGTGGAGATGACTCTTGTGGAGAGCGCCAACGAAAAACATGCATGCCATATCGCCTCCTGCGGCCGGAGCTGAAGGTGTAGGCAGCTCAAGACAGAAATAAGTAGCTCTGCGAAGTATATTAACAGCTCTCCTGCTTTGAAAGGTTTTGAATACTAAGAGGTGGTGTTCCTGTTGGAAATGAAGGATGCTTGCGGAATAGGTGAATATCCCTGAAGACGGGAATGGCTGCTAAATTAATATTCGATGAGAACAACAGTAGTGTTGTTTCTGTCATTATTTTTCTCATCTGGCAGTTTTTAATGAAGGTCAGATCACAGCAGTCAGCTCTCTGATACACAATTGTCCTGAGGCTTTCTGAGTTTTAGCCCACAGAAGTTTACCCTTGAATAGTACCTAAAGGAGGAATTTTTCAGCACGATGCCCAAAGAGTTTATGACACAGTAAAGGAGAAATATTGCCATAGAGATAATGACTATTCATTACTATTTTTGCTGTTAATGTTACTTTTAAAAGGTTTCAGTTGTAGCATGGTCAGCTCGGGAAGGATGCACAGATGTTGTAACACACTCTGCAGCTTTTTAAAATAACTCTTCTACATGGCTGGCTGCCATAACTGCAGTATTTTTCAGCTGCTTTTAACAAAGGGTACACCTACAACATGATTCGGTTGCTTGAGCTTAGCTGTGCCATTTGAGACGGTGCCATGCCTGACTTCCAGCAGCTGCTCCAAATGGGCGCGTGTCCGCTCTAGGTGCTGTGTCATGCCTGCCAGGCCTGCATCTGTTTTGGGTGTATTTCAGAATTGGAAGTAAACACTGTGTTTAGGCAACTAAATAGAGCCCATGGTCTTGTCTGGGATGTGCCACCAAAATGTTTGTTTGTTCCCTTACCGGTGTGCATCTGAACAGGTGCTTGTGTGAGGCTGGTGTGAAGCTGGGGAGCGTGACGTGCAGCCGGCTGAGCAGCCTGTGCACGGGGCTGTCTGTGAACAGGACTTCCACGTCACCTTCAGAAATGGTTCTTAATGCTGAGTCTTTTCTCTCCAGGTTTGTGTTCTAGATCTGCGGAAGTAAACGTGAAATGTTTTAGAAGAAATTTCAAATGGACCAGCAGTGAATGTGTGGGGAGAAGCACTCTTCAAAACTATTCTTAACAGCTCCAGAACTGTACGAACTTGAACAAAGTTAGAGTGTACCGTGAAACCAACTCTCCCTGGCCACAGGTGTCTAGTATTTTGTCCGTAACCTTCATCAAGGAGTAAAAACGCAGTCACTTCAGAGGGGGAGGGAATGGTTTCCACCTGGAACATTCAGCCTTGGAAGCATGAAGCCACCAGCTAGGCATTGCACTGTTTGGTTTGCATCTGAGAACTTGCTCTGATGGCTAGGAAAAAAAAGCTGTGCCAAAAAAAAATTAATAAAAAAAAAAGAAAAATGCTGTGATAAACCAAAAGGGAAAAAAAAATCCTCCTCCATGCGGTGTTGTATTTTTTCCTTCCAATTTGGACACTACAGTTGCTCTCCCAAAGGACGTTCAAAGACCAGTTTGTACTGATGAAATGCTCAACTTTGTAATCACAACACTTTCTATTTTCTAGACTACTTTTTTTGTTCAGTGGTTTTTCTATCAGCTGGAATATTACAGCCTGGAGGATCCCAGGCTTAGGATGAAACTTTTGTTTTCCTTTTATTTCTCCCTTCCACTCCCAACTTCTCCTTCCTTTTTTTTTCTCCTCTTTCTTCTTGCCCCTTTTTTTTTTTTTTCTTTTTTCCCTGTATGCCCATAGTAGATGCAGCCAGGTGGACATGACAATGAAAATTTTTGACAGACTGCTTCTCCTCTCTTTCTCTTCCTTTTCCTTTCTTTCTCTCCGTTTAAAAGAAAAAAAATCCTCCATGCTTCAGATCTTAGCGTCTCAAGGGCACTTTCAGCAAATTGTGTAATAAGTGCTTTATATAAGAATGCAGTGCTGGGGAAGATTTTTACAGGAGAAAGATGACTTTTAACAGAAAGAACCCAGTGTATTTTTGGAAAAAAAATATTTTTTATGTTAAACAGTTTTAAAAGCCTAAAATGGCCACCAAATGTAGACCAGTTGTGTAATTCAAGCAAAGCAAATGACAGAGTCCGATGAACATGAAAGGTGCAGTATCCTTTTTCTCTTCTCTCTCAGAAAGTGCTGTAAGAAAGAAATGCCATTTGATACAATAAATGCCAGTCGTTTACTAAGTAGAGGCCTCTTCCAGCAGCCAGCCGTTTACATAGTCTCGTTTCACTTTTGTGGCAGTTTGATGATGTAGACTTTTTAAAAGGGATTCATAAGTTTGAGACTATAAATATAGCATTCATGTTCCTGAGTCCATATTTTCGTTTATCCTTGGTAATCGGGGGAAAAACGCTTGTGCATCTTCTTTCCTCTAGAGATAGTTCAGATTTCATACAGAACATGGGTTTGGCTGCCCGTGGCTTTGCTGAGCAGTGCTGCCCTCCACTATTCCTCCCGCTTAGCTGTTTTCTATTCCAGTAAGTCGGTGGGGTTTTACCACTGACTTAATGAGACCAGTTGAACCAAGACGTACTGACTGCACCTGTCACTGTTGGAAGAATGGACTCTTGCCAAGCTCCTGTCCGTCCACGGTCAGCGCACACCTAGAAGCGGGCTCTTCCGTGGCGTCTGGCAGTACGTGGCGCTGCTGTCACCCTCAGCCGTGCGTGTGCTACGTGCCACGGGGAAAGCTCTGGGTCTGCCCAGGCAGGTGTAGCCTTGAGGGTGTCCTCAGTGCGGTGCTCAGAAGACAACACAGAACTCTCCGTTAGATGAGGACGTGAGAAAGGATAGATAAATTATGTCTCGGCATATATACCACTATAAATGTGGTGGAATGACAATAACGACTTCCAAAGCACCGACTATCCACTTTGGACAAGATTTCCTTACTGTAAGCTAGACATCTGCAGGGATGCCTCCTGGAGACTACATTGCTCTTAAGAGCAAATGATGGATGTGAAGAAGGATGCATAGGCAGAGTTTACTGAAAGTGCTGTAAAGTGTAAGGGAACCTTGGGGTGGTGGCAGCCGTGATTTAGACGAATCCTTAGAACTGGCTGAATCAAACAGGCAAGGCGAGGATCGGGAGGAGAGAGAAAAACAAGCAGAGAACCCCCTTAACATCACGTAGTACCTTCCTGCCCAAAGTTGCTATTTCTGTAACGCAGGATCTTCCCTTTGATTTGACCTCAGCTGCTGAAGTGATCTGATGTGAGCAAAAGCAAAACCAAGGGCCCTAGGGCTGAACTGGTGGTGTCAGACCTGCCAAGCATCGTGACATCATCACGGCATCCTGCAATCTGTTCGTCATTTTTTCTACTGTGTCTTCCCCTCTTTATGCTTGCCATCTGTCCAGTGTCTTAGTCCTTCCAGTGGAACTAGCCACTGCCAGCCTCAGCTGTGTTTCTTAAAGATACACGGTTTGGAAAGGACAAAAGAATGAACAGAAATAACTGCTAAAAGGGTTACTGAGTCCTGAGGTGAAAACAGTTATGTGGAGTTTTGGTCATTAATGACGGTTAGGCTTGTTTGTAATTTGTATCAAAGAATTGGACACTGGAAGGTATCAAGGATTATTTTCAGCGTTAAATGCATTCATGTGTTGGTTTTAGTTTTCTGCTCCAAGAGCAAGAGCTGTAGATGATCACAGTGGCAGTTGTGCACTGTTTTATAATAACCACGTGTACCTACTAATTTAAAGTCACTTAAAAAGAAAAAAAAAAAAAAGGGTACTTGTTCAGAGACTTGAATTTGAATACAGAGGTTTAATGTGGTTTTATAAAGCACGGTTGGGTCGATGATTGGATAACAGTCGTTGCATGTACACGGTTAACTTCCTAAGCTGCTTTTGGGTGGCGTTTCTGAGAATCACGTGGAGAAGCTCCAGGTCTGCAGGCAGCGGAGGGCAGCGCAGGTGGGGGGCTTGGGCCTTGCCCCTGTCCCTTGAGCGACGCCCGAATAGGCCAGACCTCAGGATTCGAAGAGATGAGGTTGCTCAAGCCGAGGTCAGCGAGGCCGCGTGGCTGGCTGGCTGCATAGCCCACGTTTCGCGTTTGCTCCCGGGATAGCCACTGTAGATAAGTCGGCAGTGTCCGTGATGCCTGTTTCTTTTTCCTTTCTTTCAAATTGCCAGAACACCACCTTTCCTCTGCCCGCCTACATGGAGGTAAGAAGCCAAGAGAAACAAAATTTGAAAACCAGTTGGTTTGCAAAGCCTGCGTGTGAGAGAGGCTGCTGGTCCAGAGAGTTTTCTGTACAGACCATCAGATTTGAAAGCAGCGTATGTGAGAAGCTAAGAAAACACACCTTTCTTCCCCTCCCCAAGACGCTAAAGCCTGGAAAATCCTCAAGGATACTGTAGTAGGTAGTTTTCAGCTAAAATGAGGGTGGCTGTTAAGGAAGGCAGAAGATGTAGTTGCAAAGGTTAATCCTAGCCTAAGGAGCTGGTTTCTTTAGGAGGTGGGCAGAGGGGAGAGAGCGGCTTTTCCAGGCGGTGTTCCACGTGAACATCTAAGCCTAGAGCTGCAGAGCTGCCCCGTGGGAGCTCCCACTTTCCCCCCCCCCGCAGCTGGCGGTGCCCGTCTGCGGCTCCCCTGCGACAGAACAGCACAAAGCAACAGGCCGGTGGGCTTCAGTTTTTTCATACAGTATTTTTTGGCAAAATTTGTTTATAGTTCTTTGTAACAGAAGAGAAATTGAAAAATCTGTGTGACCAAACAGGATTACGAAACCGTCAAGAGACTTACTGGATTTCTATCATTGCTGGCTGTCTGGAACTGGCCTTGAAGTGGAAAAAAAAAAAAAAAAACCAAGTTGCTGAAAAACTGCTCGACTCTGTGAGTTAGAAGGATACTGAATCTTTTATGTAGAAAACACTGGGTCCCTTATGGGGCACTAAAGGGCCTGACTTACAGGGTTATACACACATTAACCCCATGCTACATCTTAGAAATTTCCTTTTAATTTGTTTAAAAAAAAAAAAAGAAAAAAATAGCTAATTTTAGAGCCAAGTGAAGTGCACTTTGTCAAATGTAAGGGTCTGCTTTGTTTTTGGGTTTCTTTTTCTTTTTCCCTTTTTAATTTTTCCTCCTTTTTTTCCTCCTTTTGCCTTTTTAAAAGATGTGGTTCTTTGTCAATTGCAGAAATGTTCTTTCAGCCACTCACAGAAATTCTGAATTCTGGCTTCTGCAGTTTTTATTGTCTGTGTCAGACTTGCAGCCAGACTTGGTTCTCATTTCAGCATTTCCCAGGTTCTGTTGAAACAACATCAACCCTTATTTTGTTTCTCCCCCACCCACACTTTCTTCAAATTCACCTTGTGTATTGTAGCTCATTTGTTTTAAGGAGAGAATCAACAGATCATATTCAGTGTCTTGAATAAATTGCTATATTTTGATATTAGAGAATTCTGTGCGTGTTGTTCCTTATTCTTTTCTGGCTATTTTGCATCCTGTGCTTAAGAGCTGGGGTTGGGTGACTGAAGTTGTAACACGGTGTCACAACCAACCTAAAGGGTTACCCAGCTCCACGGGTGTGTAGGGATCTCAACCGCAGGTTCGTAGGATTTTGTAATACACAAGGGCACGGAGGAGAATCCTCTGATTTTCTTTGTTACAGATTGCCACAAATACCTCACAAACCACCATTAGCAAGTATACCTACGGTTAAGAAAGCAAATGTACATGTGTGTATCAGGCTATTACAAAGTATTATCCAGAAGCAACAGTACAGCAACAATCAATAATATAGCAGCAATTAATTACAGCAACAATCAATTATAGCAGCACCCAATAATAGCAGCAATGAAGTGTGTGTGTGTATATATATTTAATATTACAGGTTACAACAGAGTTATTGCCAGTGGAGTTATCAATAACGCAAGAGCAGGTATACTTAGGATAGGTTCCTCACATGTACCTATGTGGCACCGAGGACGTCGGACAGATCTCGGAAGGTGCCCAGCCATCCCAGAGGTGGGAGGACAAACCAGACTGGCCCCAGGCATGGGCTCGGTGGGGCAATGATAAAACAGCCGGCAGAGGCTCACTGCGAAGGTGCTCTGTGTCACAGAGTTCGGAGTCAGCCAGGCGTCCCCGGCGAGGGTCCGAGTTCTTGTAGAAGGTTCGCACAGCCCTGTTGAGGAAAGGCAGGAGTATGTGCAGCACGGGAAGAGAGAGAAGCTCCATGTTAGGTAGAAAATAATTTTTCTGTCATAGAAACGTAAGAGGGTGTAGGACACCGCCACTTTGAGCAGCCAGTAGATGCTGTTAATTTCTGGGACAGCCAACAGATGGTGATTTCTGTTCTCTCAGACCAATTGTTATTTTCTGGGACTTTTCCTGTTCTTGCAGTTAGAACAGCCAATGGCAGTTACCAATTCTTGCTT